TGAATATGAGCATTGGTATATGGTGCTGAATTTTGAGAGCAATTGGCTAAATAATCTGCATTATCATGCCAATTCTCTCATTTATCGACATGTCTTATGGTGAAACCACATATTGTGAACTTATAGCTGATAAATAAGGATTTACATATTGCATGTTGCTAGTAGCATCAAAACTTGAAGAATTTATAATTAACATCGGTCTTGACTATAATATCCATAATTATGATGGATGAGGAACATTATCAAAAGAATCAGCCGATGCAACATATCTAGTATCACTATGACTAGCAACATCAACATGAGAACTCATAGAACTTGCAAAATAACTATTAGGATTATAAGATGCATTTGCAAGTTGTACATCAAGGTAATTGTAGTAGTTTTGTGATGAACCACCTTGGTACTTCATGATTTAGAACTTGACCACCTTGCTGAATTTTCCAACAAGCAGCACAAGTTCTTGTAAAATCGCAAATAAAATCACAAGGGGTCAAAACTAGATGTGATCGGCCTTTTGGACCAGATGCAACGGTAATGGCGAGCACGAGAAGATAGATCAGCGAGAAGTAAGGCTAGGTCACAGAGATCGGCTAAAAGTGTGTTGATGTCGGAGGTGCTCCGAATCACACACCAGCAGGGCCTTAGATGTTCGGGCCGCTACGGACCGAAGAACGCAGCGAGGATGGCACTCTTTTATGGTGAAGAACATAGAGGTTCACAAGCAAAGCACCAAAGGATAACCAACATGCTTGCTTGACGAAGAACCAGCTAGTTTTTAGGCAAGCTAGCAAAGAAACTGTCGAAGTTCTTGTTCGAGAGGGACCTCGTGAGGGCAAGGACGTCGCTGGGTTGCCTTAGGTCGGCCGGCAAGCCTAGCCATCCTTGGTCGTGGACCAAGGGATGAGAAGCATGAAGGTTAGAGAAGATGGTAAAAGGAAGTTTATAGATTGGTTTGTATGACGATTGGATAGTTGAGAACTTAATCGGCCATGATCCTCTCGTATATATAGAGGGGGTGGTCTTATTCTAGTAGGAAACAAGTCCAAATCGTAATCTCTAAGTTTTCCACGTCCAAAATAGATTCAAAACCGACTTGGGGGTCAAACCGGCTCAGAAATAACAGAAAAGTCGGTTTAGCTGACTTCCACGGGCCTGGGACACTGTTTTTGGGCTGAAAACAAGGGGAGTTGGCTTAGCCGACAGGGTGACTCGGCTAAACCGACTGGTTGCTGGAAATTCCGGGTGAAAAACTTCTGAAATTCATAATTAATTCATCTAGACTCCAAACGAGGCAATCCATATATATTTTTCGATCAGCTCGACGAGAGAAACGTAATGGTGAAGTCCATTCTTGCATTTGAGAAAGTTGGTCAAGTCGGCTTAGCCGACTTAGGGAGTCAGCTAAGACGACTCTGGCTGGTTCATCACCGAAAAGTTATTTTCTTCGCCCAAGCACCAAATGCGATTATCCAAGTGTGCTTTTAGGTTGTCTTGAGGACAGAGACATGATGGTGATGTCAATTATGCACTCTGGACAATTTTGGGTGTCAACAAGATGTTTCATACAATACCATTGTGAGCTGCAAAGCTATTTTGCTGCTCCCTTTAAATGAAGGGTGGGGAGTACTTCTCCCCTCCGTTTCCATCCATAAAAACAAAATAGCACTTAAAATGCTTAATTCATGTTTTTTCGATGAGATTGTTGCAACTAGTGTTTGGTTTAAGAGGACCGAACCATCCCTATTTTCTCTTTGGTTGAGCTCCTTGAGTCAAAAGAGATGGATGCAGTTTTTAACACCGTGATCTACAGTTGCTACGGACCCATCTATCAGAAATGGACCCCAACACCTAGCCTCATCGGTCACCGCACATCTCTTCTCCTTAGTTCTTCTCGAGGACCCGCACGTCTATGTTCGCCACCCATCCGATCTAACCCCGTCAGCCCGCTTGCATCGCTTGCTGTAGTGCCTCCCCCACCATCCTGCTTGCTGAAGCAAGAGCTTGCCTATGTTATAGTCGGAGCACCTCCACACCATGCCATTGCTGAAACATCAGCGTTGTCCCCACCCCGGCCATAGATCCAGCGGTGCCCAAAGCTCTACTCATGCTGACACATGGCCGCCTGAAGCTACAGACGGACGAAGAGGGCATTGACAAGGGACGAGTCTATCCCCTTGTTTTAGAGGGATGAACTCGCCTCGAATCTTTAAGGACTATGCCTCCTAGGGACGGTTTCATACTCTATCATTTCAAACCCAAAATCATGGTTTTTGGGACTGCCGTCCCCAGTGAGCCCCTTGACTAGACGCATGCTAGGAGTATCCGAGAGACTCTCCCATCCATCAAAAAACATGTGCTAGTGCCATACCACATCCTGCCTAGGCCATGCACGTTTTATCACGGCACTCGACATTTCACGTGCACAACTCAAAGTGTGCGCTCATGGCTCGCCTTTCACGTCTTTCAACCTTCATGATATTAGCAACAACTATGGTCTTAGAAAGAATGAACCAAACCACCTAGGCAATAGGACAAGAGAAAAACAAGTGAGAGATTGTTTCTTCTTATCACAAAAATAACACTTTGGACACCTGATCCAGTTTTTTTGCCATGTTTCCTTTTTTAAGAATTGTATTATTTTGAAGGAACCATATAGAGATCTTTACCTTAGAAGGAACTTTTCGTTTCCAAATCATGTTATGGTTTAGACCTACACCATTCGATGTTAAGGCATTATAAAAAGATTTTACTGAAAACTTGACATTTTTATCCAAATTCCAGCTAATCAAATCCTCATCCTCATACAGAGCAAAGTCATTAACCTCCAACATGACATACTCTCATAGTTGTCTTAGCTCATAATATAGCCATCTTGGTAGGAAGTTCAAATTCTTATCTCATAATATGGCCTCATACGATATTTCTTGATGTTCACATAAACAAAAAATGGCAGTGTAGATTTTTGCATCATACATACAAAGATCTCTCCAAAAGCGTGTACTGCAACCGTTTATGATCAATACTTTCTTTCCTTATAAGTAGATATTCTTAATCTTAAGCAAGTTTGCACAGACAGGAGGGCCATTCTGTCTACGATTCATAATAGACTGATTCACAAGATACTTTTGCTTTACAATATCCTACCAAATCATTTTTCCCTTTTAAGTCTCGACCACTGTTTTCACAAAATTCTAATATTTAATTTTCTTATATCCTTAATACCCTGACTGCCTTTCGTCTTACTCTTATAGATGTTGGTCCATTTGATCAAGTGGTATTTTCTTCTTCCACTGCCTCCCTGTGAGAAAAAATGTCTTATTTGTTCAAGTTTTCAATAACCGACTTTGTGAAGCAAAAAAAATGACAAATAGTAAACTGGGGTGTTCGTAAGCCTAGAATTAATAAGTGTGGTCCTTCATACATCAACATAGTCCCTCCTTTTCACATGTTTATATGAATGTTTTGACATTTTTCTCCTCCGATGGTAGCCAACCAACGATACGCAGCCTACCTATGCTAACAAGGACCCCAGATATTTTATTTTGCCATCCGACATTAAATTATGGCCTTTGAGTTCATTTTTTGAATTTTAATTGGGCCAAGCCCAAATAATAAAGGAAAAAGTTCACATTACCTCATTAACTTCCGCGAAAGTCCGCTTTTCCTCCTTGAACTTCAAAACTGGGCAAAACACCCCTCAACTTTTAAAACCATTCATCTTACCTCTCTAACCCTGTTATAAGCAGTTTTGAAGGCGGTTTTATTTTTTTCTTTTTTATTTATTTCGGCTGAATCTTTGAAAAAGCATAGTAAATCACAGAAAAAATCTTAAAAATAGAAAATTCAATTTTATTGGACTCTACATGAGCAGACCTACACAGTGAACATAGAATATGGTATGTTTTAGTACAAAGTTTTTGTTGTGGCTTTAGATCTATACTTTTCTGTAATTAATTGGAATAATTCATAGCTGCAGTTTCTATGGTCTTATTGTGGTAAAATTTTTATGGTGGGATAATTATGGTATGATTGAATTGTAGCAAAAAATTTATACTCATTGGATCATGTATAACTTAGTTATAGATTTATTTATATTTAACAAGCATAAACCTAAATAAAATTTATAACTAAGTTATACATGATCAATGAGTATAAAATTTTTACTAAAGTTTAATCATACAATAGTTAGCCCACCGTAAAAATTTCACCACAATTGAACCATAGAAACTGCAACTATGAATTATTCTATTTAATTACAAAAAAGCATAGATCTATAGCCACAGCAAAAACTTTATACTAAAGCATATCATATTATATATTCACTGTGTAGATCTACTCATGTGGAGTCCAACAAAATTATATTTTTCATTTTATGATTTTTCTGTGATTTACTATGATTTTTCAAATATTCAACCGAAATAAATAAAAAAGAAAAAGACAAAACCGCCTTCAAAACTACTTATAACAGGGTTAGGAAGGTAAGATGAATGGTTTTAAAAGTTGAGGGAGGTGTTTTGCTCAGTTTTAAAGTTTAAGGAGGAAATATGGACTTTCGCGAAAGATGAGGGAGATAACGACACTAACATAGACACATGGTGACCGGTCAGGGCAGCCAGGCTCCATACAAACGAAGTGGGCAGCGAGTCACAGAATGGGTTACCGCCCAATTGGCCTGGTGTCTCTTAGCGCGGGGCGGTAGTAGTTCTTTCTGCAACTGGAGGCCCAGCAAACACTGAGCGGATATATATGCTGTGAAGTAGTAACCCTAACCGAAGCCCCCGCCTCCCACACACGGGAATAACCTGTTGGGCTACCGCCGCCGCCGCCGTCCTTAGCTGATATCATCGCCGGCGAAGAGCGCCCCAGGTACCCCCTCTCTTTCCTGTCCGCTGTGCAAAACCGAATTCTCAAACTCAAGCTATTTGGCTATTTGATCCCTACTAGCTTCTAACTTTTTGCAAAAAATTATCGGTCCCTTTACTAGATCCGCCGCCCCTGCTATGGAGTCCGCGGTGAACCCGAAGGCGTACCCGCTGGCTGATGCGCAGTTGACGATGGGTATCCTCGATATCATCCAGCAGGCCGCCAACTACAAGCAGCTCAAGAAGGGAGCTAACGAAGGTACCGGACCAATCCCTTGTGCACGTCTTCTGGTCTCTACTCTGTTAATTCTGGGGCTTTCTTATTCAATTTGTGTCTTTTGTGTTTGCGTGCAGCGACCAAGACCCTGAACAGGGGGATATCGGAGTTCGTAGTGATGGCGGCGGACACGGAGCCGCTCGAGATCCTGCTCCACCTCCCCTTGCTAGCTGAGGATAAGGTACTGATTATTTGCCCTTTCCCCTTTTGTTTTGTTTCGCGTACACTAGTGCTTTATATAAAAAAATCATATATAATGGTAGAATTAAAAAAATATCTCTCGAAATAGATCATATATAAATTAATAAGTCTATTTGGCAATCTAATCATGGTATGCTCATAACCTCAACCAGGGCCAAGGGTAGGCCACTTAGGTTAAAAAATGGAACTGAAGCGCATGGCACCATATTCGTTATATTGGCTTGTTCGAGTAGAATATGTCACCGAGGAACTTTACACTTGCACAAAATGCATATCAACTGCAGGGAAAAAAATCCATATTAGTTATTTCTTAAGCAACTATATGTCGTTGTATCAGCTCAAATTTACTTTCAGAAAAATAAATTTGACATTGCACAAGAGTTAGTAGCCGCTGACAATGGAATCTAAAATAGTTCATCCTATACACAGTATCTATTCCTAATCCTTCACCTTTCTGCTGCTGCTAGCCGATTCCATGCTTGTAGGAATACATTAGTAGAACTCAGGTTCTAACCTGCTGCCTGCAGCTACAAATCAGTAGCTATACAAAAGAATACCCAATCAAGCTACTCAAGAAAAGAACGTGCCGTTAAGATACTTCCCATTTTTTGATCCAGAATATCATGACAGGTTAGAAAGACCCCGGATCTAGGCATTCATATTGTTTATGTTTATTTACTACCAATTTGTTATTTTACTATTCTATAAAAATATTTTCTCATGCATTCCTAGAAAGTTTTAGTTGGTAAAAATTTGGTGGCTGTGACTGTTTGTTACATGTAAATCAATTATAAGCTGAACAGACAACAGGCAAAACACACAAATGGATGTTTCAAGGAAAATACATATCCGTACCACAGAGGTTAATACACATATAGAAAAGGATCTGGTTCACCTAAATATGGGCACATAGCAATAGCATCCAATGTAAAGCATGCATCTAAGTCATCCTTAAAGCCTACAAGGTTCTATGAGAACTGATAATGGACCTGTTCTTTGGTCTTAAGTTGCGCTTCAAATCAATTGTCCTTTTCTTCCTCGGCGTTGATATTTGTATTATTTAAAGCATAGCCAACTGGAACACCATAGGATCTTGAGTTACCAGCATCCACATCCTACAGTAGTTGAGGTAAATAACAATATGAACCCAAATAATCGGAGAAGCTATTTGAATGTCATCAGAAACACAAGGTGTCACAATATAACCCTAAAATCAATGATACAAAAACTGGCTGAGAGGAATAGCTCACCGTAATTTTGTTCTTTTCCAATTCTGAGCAAAGTTCAGCTAGGCGCTAGGCGGAATCTAGGCGCTGACCCATTGCCTAGCGCCTAGTCGGGAGTACTCGGTCCTAGGCGCTCCTAGGCGTTTTCCTAGGTGTTTTGGCAATATAGCCATAAATTATATATATATTATGTATATAACTATATATATGTATATAACTACTATATATGAGTCACAGTAAGTATAAAAAAAGGGCCAGTAGACATATCTGATTCCTAGCTGGCTTACTCTTGCATGTTCCTAGCTCCTGCAACACATTTTGACAGCTAGTAGTTAGTAAATTAGTCAATAGACAGCTAGCTGTTCATAAAAAAAAAAAACACTAAGTTGTGACTTATCTGGATGATTTCAGCAGCCTCCCATCCATGAGCACACCATATCAGCAGCTGGTAATTACAATACAAGTGGATATCAGCAGCTGGTTCCAGTCGAGGACGAGCAGGACGGCGGCGGCGAGTCGACGACGAGCAGGACCGGCGGCGCGCGAGTCGGGGACGAGCAGGGGACGAGCTTGGACGAGCAGGGGAGGAGCAGAGGAGGAGCAGGACCGGCGGGGAGGAGGTAGTCCGGCGGGATGGACCTCGCCCGGCGAGGAGGACCGGCGGCGGGGATGACCAAATCTTACGCGGGGACGAGCGAATGGCGCCGCGCTCCCTTCTAATCCTCCCGCGCCTGGGTCTTGTGGCCGCGCGCGGGCCTGGCCGCGCGGGAATTCCTCCCGCACTCCGATTTGGCGCGCCAAAATTGGCCGCCCTCGAGCTCGCGCTCATCTCGCGCGCCTACGCGTGCCTACGCGCTGCCTAGCGCCGTGATGCGCGACTATGCCCCTAGTCGCGGCGACGGGCTTCGCCCAGCGACTAGGCGCGCGTAGTCGCCGCCTAGCTGAACTTTGATTCTGAGTCCCTTCTCTCCTCTGGCACTGCAGTCCTGTTAGCTGATTTAGCTTGCGTTTAGTTAGTTGTACATGCTTCTTTGCGCTCCCTTATCCTGCTTGGTTGATGACATGAACTACATGTATACATCACTTCTGTTAGCAGGCTTCTTAATGAATAAAATTGGCAACATTTGGCTAATAAATTTGCCCTATGCTATTTGCAGAACGTGCCATATGTATTTGTTCCATCGAAACAAGCTCTTGGCCGTGCTTGTGGCGTGACTAGGCCAGTCATTGCTTGCTCAGTGACCAGCAATGAGGGTAGCCAGCTGAAACAACAGATACAGGGTCTCAAGGTACTTAATATTGTGTCTTGTAGTAGTTGTTAATACTTGATATTTTACTATATATATATATGTGCATATTATGATTCTGTAATATTTATATGCTGTTTAATAGTCTTTGTTATCATGTTCCTGTATGCATATCTCTGTAGATTAATCAAATTTAATGAATTGCAGGACTCTATTGAGAAGCTTCTCATCTGATTCACCGAAGACCTTTCAGTGTGATGGGCCTCGAGGACACATTTTTCAGAGGCTTGGACTGGTGATGGTGTCTTGTTTACTAGATTTTACGCTTTGCAAACTATGTTTGAACACTGTTAGGTCGACCCTACTTGAATTGTGTTGTGCCTTTATATTTGTGACTGTCATGTATTCTCAAGATGCCTCTCCAACCTGGTGGCTTGGTTTCTGTTGAGATTCTGACCATCATTGTAACGGTTGATTACGATGGGTTTGAGAACTGGATCGATTGGATGGTTGCAACTTCCATGTGACCACTTGCAGCACAAATAAAATCGCAGTGATGTTTTGTCCCAAGTTTTCTGGGATACTACTTGTGCATAGTTTCTGCCAGTGATGTATTAATTGTTTTTCCTTGTTCTAATACTTGGATTTTTGTGGTTAAAGTGTTGGGTCTTCTTTTACGCTGCATGACCTCTAAGTCCAGTCATGTGTTGCTAGCAAACGTGCCCGTGTTTCTTTGGCACGGAATCGAATAATTAGAAACCGTGCTGCGGTATTGGTGTGGTAATTATGATATAGTTTGTATTTTTAATATTCTAGCTATCTTTGCGTCATTACGTGCATTATTATTATATTATTATAAGCACCACATACAACAATTAAGAGAAACATCACAAGAATACTATGTAGTGTGGTTTTTGCGCTCAATTATATGGCCTTTTAAGAGGCTATCAAAATCTATAAAAAGAGTGTTTGGTTCCACCTCCTAAAACTGACTAAAAGCAATAAATGCACTAGCAAAAAAGGCCATGCAGCCCTCCTCCATACCTCTGCTCCCGTCGTGGCCCTCGCTCTCCTCCTCGCCGCCTCCGCGGAGGTGACCATCTCGACGGACGGGAGCGTGAGCAGCTCCACGCGCCGCTGCCTCGTCTTGGTCGCGACCTTCCCCCTGCCCGTCAGGGAGCACGGGCGGCGAAGCACGGGTGGCTGCGGGGGCCGGCGGATCTGGCGGCGCGAGGGTCGAGGACGGGGAACGGCGGGAGGAGGTCAGAGGGGCGGCGCCGACTCGGGCCCCATGGCGGCGGGGAAGACGGAGGGTACATGTAGGCGAGCAGCGCCGTCGCCATCTCCAGGTCCAGCGCGAAGGAGCGGCGGACCGGTTTGGGGCCGACGGATCCGGCGAGGTGAGGCGGGAGGCGTGGGCGGGCGGGGCGCGGGAGACGGATCCGGCGGGCGCCACGCAGGAGAGGAGATCCCGGCGAGGTGGGGCCGCAAGAGGGAGGCGTGGGTGGGAGGGAGGGTGGGAGAGAGGGGGGGCAGGGCAATAAATGAGAGGTAGTGGGGGTCCATGATGGACTTGCTTTTAAGAGGGGGTGGAGCTCCTAAAGTTTTTGGCCCCTCCTAAAGTTTTTAGAAGCTTTTAGGAGGAAGTGTTTGGTTCTTTAGGCAAATTCTATCCAGATTTTAGCTCTAAAACTTTTAGGGCCTATGACATGGCACTAGCAGCTTTTCATAAAAACGACATGATACAATGGATTAGGACAAAGACACTACGCGGGTGATCTGCTAGTGCCAAGCATTCAACTCACACAGTTTGAGTTTATTCCAAACATAGGATACGGCTACTGAACTACTAGCTCTATGATGACTCATCCTAACCAACTGGGATGCCACCAAAGGCACCAAGCACTCGCCAGCAAACAACAAAAAAGACCCGATCTATAGCTAGCAGTCTAGTCCTAAATCCTAATCCTGCGCGCGCGCGCGAATGCATCCAGCTGCCAGCCCAGATGGCGAATGGGCGGGCCCCCTCTTACGGCTCGGCGGCGCCCGTCTCGGTCTCGCGCGACATCTCCTCGAGCGACTTGCCCTTGGGCTCCGGCACCAGGAACGTGAGCAAGAACCCCAGCAAGCTGCACCCGGCGAGCAGCAGCAAAGAGTTGCGCACGCCGAAGCCCGGCGGGTACCCGTGCGCCGTCTTGGCCGGGTCCTGGCTCTGCGCCAGGTACAGGAACCCGAAGGAGCCGATGATGGCGCCCACCTTGCCCGACGCCGCCGAGATGCCGTGGCACGTCGCGCGGAGCCGCGCCGGGTAGATCTCCGCGGGCACGATGAAGGTCGTGGCGTTGGGCCCGAAGTTTGCGAAGAAGAAGGTGAGCGCGTACATCACCACGAACCCCGTCTGGTTGCCGGGGCGCGTCCACTGGCGGTACGGGATGGCCAGCCCCAGCATGAAGACCGCCATCATGAGGAAGCCCACCGCCTGGATCGCAAACCGCCCCACCACGTCGATGAACGCCACCGTGAACCAGTACCCGGGCACCGTGCCGCACAGCGCGATCAGCGTCTGCGCGCGCGCGATGTGGAACAGCTCGTCTAGCGCGCTCATCGTCTCCGCCGCCGGGATCCACCCCACCGCGCTGAAGATGTCCTTCTGGAACAGGTTCTGCGAGTAGTAGGCGATGTCCAGGAGGAGCCACGTCGACGTCGTGCCCAGCAGGTGTTTCCCGTGCCGGTGAAAGAACTCGCAGGAGAAGAGCCCGAACGGCGGCGGCCCCGTCGTCGTCGCTTCTTCTTCCGGCCGCTCCTCCTTATCGGCGATGTCGAACTGGAGCACCCTGGACATGTCGGCCGCGGCGCGCTCCGCGTTCCGGGCCACCAGCGCCGTGTACCGCGCCGTCTCGGGCATCTTCATCCGCGAGTAGAAGGTGAGCGCCGCGGGCACGGCGCCGAACATGAGGATGATGCGCCACACCAGGTCCGCCTCCGCCGGCGTGGAAGCCGCGGGGTCGACGTCGTACGCCGGCGCTGGGAACCGGCTCCGGAACAGCGCGGTGACGCCGATGGCGACGGCGCCGGCGGCCAGGATGCCGAACCCCTGCATGGCGAAGACGGCGGCGACGAACGCACCCCGCGTCCGCTTGTTGGCGTACTCCGACATGATAGTCGCCGACAGCGGGTAATCGCCGCCGATGCCGAACCCGAGCCAGAAGCGGAAGAAGCAGAGCGTGGCCATGACGCAGGCCGGCGAGTGCCCGAACGAGAGGCCCGACGCGACGGAGCAGATGATCATAGTCAGGAGCGTCATCCCGTACACGCTCTTCCGGCCCACCCGGTCGCCGAGCCAGCCGAAGAAGAGCTGCCCCGATAGTGTGCCCACGAACGCCACGCCGTTGACGGCCGCGGACACGTGCGGCGGCAGGCTGCCCGGCCTGGGCGAGCCGTCGACAGTGTAGTAGACGCGGCCGATGAGCTTGGTGACGAGGGAGATGCAGAAGAGGTCGTACGCGTCGGTGAAGAAACCCATCCCCGCCACCACGATCGCCGTGACGTGGTACCACTGCGTCTTGGCGCCGTCCAACGCCGAGAGCACCTGCATGTTCTGCCCGCCCGCCATTATATTGCCGCGCCGGCGGGGGCGATCGATCGCTGCTGCTCCAATCGAATCCGGCCAACTATATGGTAGTTGTCTTCTCTTGAAACAAAAATAGTGGAGACTGAAGTACGCAGCCAATGTATAGTGAGGAGGAAGTGAGAATATTCTCGGCGCCGAGTCCTTCATTCCATGGATGCCAACTTCTTCGGCCACAAACTCTCCCTGCTTAACGGCTTCTTCCATGTTCCATGCAAAGCTTTGACGGGCTCCACCAGTGGCGGATGCACGATGCGGGATAAGGGGGGGCTAAAACAATGGGGATGTTGATTTGCATGAAGATTTAATGGTGAAATCAAGCTTTTGCTACAGTAATTAGGCTTGAAATCAAGACATTAGGGGGGGCTGGAGCCCCCTAGCCCCCTTTGGATCCGCCACTAGGCTCCACCGTCCTAGTTCCATACGGCACGGGGGACTCGGAACTCGGTGGGGAGCAAATGGAGGCTCAATGGGCCTCGTTTTCGTTACACATAAATAACAAGGGCCTCTTCCTTGGGACAGCAACGAGGCGGGCCGACTCCGGTATTTCCAGAAAAGGCCGGCCCGATGGCCCAACAGAAACTTTGACCTCTCTGACCGAGCACTACTACCATCAGAAACTTCTCCCGAGGCCAAAGCTCGCGCCGGCCGGTCCGGTCCAACGCGGCCAGCGGCTGATCGGGCCGGCCTCCTCCTCCCAAAGAAACCATCCCCTTCCCCTCGCCAAACCACAGGAAGAAGCGAGCAGCCCACCCAGATCCCACCCTCTCGAGCGATAGCGATGGCGATGGCGATGGCGTCGGCGCCGGCCGCGTCCTCGTCCTACGGGTGCGCGGCGTGCGGGGCGGACCTGAACCTGTCGGCGGCGCACCTGTACCCGGCGGACTTCTACTTCGAGGCCGGGAACAAGGGCACGCTGTCCTTCTCGTGGGTGGACGAGTCGCGCCTGCGGTTCGCGCCCGAGGACCGCATCCGCCCCTTCTTCGAGACCCTCAACTACTGGGGCATCCAGCGGAAGCGCACGCGCATCAGCTGCGACGCCTGCGGCGGCCTCCTCGGCTACGTCTACGACGACGGACCGCCGGTCGTGCAGGGCACTGGGCAGTTCGGGATGGGGCCCAGCCAGGTCATCCCACGCCGCCCCAGGTACCGCTTCAAGATCAAGGCCGTCGCCGCCAGCTCCTCCGCGCCTGCCGCCGCCGCCGCTTATGGAAAGTGATCCTGAGTTGTTTTTCATCTTGTTCCTATATTTTTTTTGGAGAATTGCAATTTCAAAGTACTCTTCGTAATGATTCTCAGAAGTCAGAACATAGAAGTAAAAAAAAATGATTGGAATGACATGCGATTGAAATACTGCCGTGAAGTTACAAAAAACGAAGCGTTTGGATGGTACACGTGAATCCTCTAAAATTCATATAGCTTATTCCTAGGAGTTTCAAAGAAATTCATAATAATTCAATCATTTGTACCAAAAGCTCTCATATAGGGGAAAAAATCCCTATATAGGAATTCAAAATCCTCCGAAAATTTCTTCACTTTTCGTCCGTTGCAAAGGGGCCCAACTTGCGATCAGGCTGTGTGGCTTGCCATTCCCATGAGTTCAATGAACATGTCAGGTGGGAACACCTCTCACCCCCGTTGAAATAAAAACACCCAATCAAAGACAACTCGTGCACAACGGCACAATCAGGCACATATGATTATCGCATGAGGAAATTAGAGGAATCGCTGCATTGTACTGCAGAGTGGATTGTTGAGTTCAGAAGGACTTTCGGGGGAGGAAGAAGTCAATGAATGGGAAGAAAGACTGCTAGATTTGCTTAAGCAGGTTCAGATGAACGGGGAGAAAGACAGTGTTATCTGGAAGCCGGAGAAATCAGAACAATACACTACGAGATCAATGATGAAAACTTTTAGGGGAGTAGTAAGCAAAAGGAAAGAAAAAAAAACTCCAGAAAAATAGGATGCCTCTGAAATTGAAAGTTTTCATTTTGCTAGTTGTGCAGAACAGGCTGCAGACAGGTGTGCGTGTGCCTGTTATAGGAGGTACAAAAAGTGAAAAGGCAATGCGGTTTGCTCTATCTGCTGTACTCTATAAACAGTTGACAACATATTCAATCCTGCTCTCGCTACATCACTTGGGAGTTGGGACTACATCATCGAGGCTTTGGATTGGGATGAAACCCCAGGTTTTACAGGATATTGTACAGGCTTGGCTTCCTTCGGCCTTGGGGTGTACTGATTACTGATCACGATCTGAAACTCTTCCTTCTGGCACGGAACAAAATGGCTATATAGAAAAGAGTTTCACCCCAAAGCTCCTGTTTTGTTTAATATTTCTTCGGAAGTGGCGAGTTGTCTGATGGAGCCAAGTTGGATAGCCTCGCAAGAACAGTGGCGCACCGGATGAAGAATTTCATGAAGCACCGCAAGTTCTCTTCGGCTGCTGAAGAGTTTATTTTGTCTCTGTGGCCTTGGGCCTGTTGGTGCTGTTATTAGCTCTAGTGCTAAATCGCTCGATTTGCTAGCGTGTGTTGGATGCTGTAAAACTCATTATTCGCTTTCTTATCAGCACGGCTACCATTGCACACGCAATGGGAGTTTTGCACAAACCTGCTGCTGCATGCAGCAGGCTCTGTTGGACGATCAGAACGAAGCAAGTGTTAAACAAGCAAAATTTCTTCGTTATTCAGTAAAGGCATAATCATACATATACAATATCATTGATAAACTCTGCTCGTGCAGCAAAAACATGAAATTACATCCGTTTTCTCCTAATTGATTGATCTACAGGACGAAAAACCAGGAAATAATTCCAGCTTCAGACAGGAGCAGATCAGAAGTGTTATAATCCTTGAATCATCTAGCAGTCGGTCTAGAGGGTAGACATCAAGAGCGATAGACAACAGCAACGATGTAGACCTAGAATGCTATCTAGAGGAAGGAGAAGGTGTCGAACCTGAGATCCCAGAGGGAGTGGATCCAGAGGCCTCCATCAACCTTCGGTGAAGTCTCGCTCACGGGCAAATGCGGTCGGTGAAGAGAGGCGGCGCGGTGGAGACGGTGATGCGGTCACGATGGCGACGGGATGACGGTGATGACGGTGGCGGCTTCCGTCATGGTCAAGCAAGCACCCTCTTCGAGATCGGAATTAGGGTTTGTCGGTGGGGTTTGCGGCTCACGGCGAACCTCGTGCTTTGAGCCGCCGGCCCCCACCTCTTTATATAGCGTAGTGCGACGGGGGCCCACCAACCATGTAGGGTTGGGCGCCCCGATCGTATGTGTGACCAAGGCCCAATAGGCCGTTGGGCTTATTGGTTAGGAGATCAATCTAACATTCTCCCCCTTGATCTCACTATTACTTTTATCTTTAAACTTTAAACTTCAATCCTTTTATCCTTACTCATTTCTTCACAGATGATGCATAGAGCATGTCTCATCGTCACGGTCAATCGCCGATAGATTTAATGACTACAATGTACGCCTCTACGATCTAAAATAGTTACTTTAACTTTTGGGCCCTTTATAGTCCGGGAATCATAGGCTTTCCCTTAAACCCATGCCGCTACATGTTCTCTCGAACACGTTGGGTGGTAAGCCTTTTATAAGCGGATCCGCGAGCATCTTTTCGGTACTTATATGCTCAAGACTTATCATTTGATCCCGGACTTTATCCTTCACAACATAATACTTTATGTCAATGTGTTTGGCAGCACCACTTGACCTATTGTTGTGAGCATACTGTCTCTTCTTTGGATTATTATCGCAGATAACTTCATGGTCTATTGATGTCGCCAACCACCTTCAAACCGGTATGAACTTCTTTAGCCAGCCACCCGCCCGTTGCCTCATAACACGCTACAAACTCGGCATACATTGTGGACGATGTAGTGACGGTTTGCTTTGAGCTTTTCCATGAAATAGCTCCCCCTGCGAGAGTGAACACATATCCAAACGTGGATTTTCTATTATCTCCCGCATAATCAGAATCTGAATATCCCACTATATGGAGTGAATCAGATCTTCTATATGTCATCATGAGGCCTTTCGTTCCTTGCAAATAACGCAATACTTTCTTTACCAATTTCCAAAGTTCTATTCCGAGATTGCTCTGAAATCTCATCAAATAACCCGGTAACAAATGCCAAGTCGAGGTGCGTACACACTTGAGCATATTGCAAGCTTCCGACAATTTGAAGCATATGGAACCACTTTCATTTGATCGATCTCATATTGGTTCTGGGGCATTGAAAATCCCCATATCTCTGTCGCCCTTGACTATAGGAGCAGGTGAGGGACTACATTTGTGCATACTGAATTTCTTTAAGACTTTTTCTATGTATGCCTTTTGTGATAGTCCTAATACCCCTTTACTTCTATCTCGGTGAATCTCGATCCCTAGAACGAACGAAGCTTCACCTAGATCTTTCATATCAAATTTTGAGGACAAAAACTTCTTTGTTTCCAGTAGTAGACTGACATCACTACTTGCAAGTAAGATATCATCCACATACAGGACAAGGAAGATAAACTTCCCATTCTTAAACTTTGCGTAGACACAATTGTCCTCAACATTATCTTTAAACCCAAAATTCTTTATTGTCTGATCAAACTTCAAGTACCACTGTCTTGAAGCTTGTTTTAATCCATAAATAGATTTCTTTAGGCGGCATCCCAAACGTTCTTTTTCCTCCATGAAAAAACCTTTCGGTTGTGCCATGTAAACATTTTTCTCTAAGTCTCCGTTGAGAAATGCCGTCTTTACATCCATCTGATGTAATTCCAAATCGTAATGTGCCACTAATGCCATTATGATTCTGAAGGAATCCTTACACGAGACTGGAGAAAAAGTCTCATTGTAATCAATCCATTCTTTTTGTGTAAAGCCTTTTGCCACAAGTCGGGCTTTATATCTTTCTATATTCCCTTGAGAGTGAAGTTTTGTTTTGTAGACCCATTTACAGCCTACTGTTTTGGCTCCTTTAGAAATTATCTCCAAATCCCAAACTTTATTTGCATTCATTGATCTCATCTCATCTTCCATGGCCTCAAGCCACTTTGATGAATGATCACTTTTCATGGCTTCTTCAAATGAGGTGGGATCATCCTCAATTTGAAATTCTTCAGTGTTGTACACTTCATAATCAGCAGGAATAGCTGATTTTCTAACTCTTTGAGACTATCTAGGGGCCTCCTTAATTGGCACATTTTCTGTTTGAGGCTGTTGTTGCTCCCCCTCATGTGTGGCAATAGGTTCTATAGGATCCTGAGGCACAGGTTCCTCATCATCATTCATTGTTGCCACAGGCGGGATAACAACAGGTGCTGGCACCACAGTGTCTTGTACTGTTGGTGCAGCAACAGCAGGTAGTGAGAAAAATGGCTCATGAATGATCGGAGTGGGTGCATACACCCGCTTCTCTTCAAGGTCAATTTCTCGAGCTACCATGCTCCCCCTAATCATTTCATCCTCTAGGAAGACAGCGTGTCTCGTTTCCACAAACTTTGTATATCTGTTAGGACAGTAGAAACGAAAACCTTTTGACTTTTCTGGGTAGCCAATGAAATGGTAACTCACTGTTTTGGGATCTAGCTTCCTAATGTTTGGGTTAAAAACTTTAGCCTCAGCAGGGCTCCCCCACACACGCAAGTGGTTAAGTGAGGGTACTCTTCTTGTCCACAACTCATACGGTGTTTTGGGCACCGACTTACTTGGTACTCTATTGAGAATATGAATGTCGGTTTTTAACGCCTCCATCCATAGACTCATCGGTAAAGTGGAGTAACTTATCATACTACGCACCATATCCATCAGGGTACGGTTACGCCTTTCAGCTACTCCATTCTGCTGAGGTTCGCCCGGTGTTGAATACTGGGCAACTATACCATTCTCCTGTAAGAACCTTGCAAAAAGGTCTAGGAACTTGTCCATATGGGGTATGTCGACCGTAGTACTCTCCCCCACGGTCAGACCTGACTATCTTAATCTTTAAATCATGCTGATTTTTAACTTCTGCTTTAAATATTTTGAATTTATCCAACGCTTCTGTTCTTTCTTTAATTGGATAAATGTAGCCAAACCGAGAGTAATCGTCTGTGAATGTTATGAATGAATCATAACCATCCACACTTTTCACAGGAAAAGGACCACATATGTCTGTGTGAATAATCTGTAGAATTCCTGCGCTTCGTTTGGCATCTTTCTTAATTTTCTTTACA